TTTAAACAGACACATGAGAATCCACACAGGACAGAAACCATTTTGTTGTGAGCTCTGTGATAAAAGGTTTATTCAAAAGGGTGGTTTAAACTCACACATGAGAATCCACACAGGACAGAAATCATTTTGTTGTGAGCTGTGTGATCGAAGGTTTACCACAAAGAGCAGTTTAAACTCACACATGAGAATCCACACAGGACAGAAATCATTTTGTTGTGAGCTGTGTGATCGAAGGTTTACCACAAAAGGGCATTTGAACAAACACATGAGATTCCACACAGAAAACAAAGCAGTCTTTTCCAGTGACTCCTAGGTGAGAAAACCACACAGGAGGAAACATCAGTTTGATGCCGTGGCTTTGGAAACTTTGATAGGTCAGTTGACAACATTGGAGCATTTACAGACACACGTGTGGACACATTTTAAGTCTCAACAGATTCTTTGTGTGACACCTCTGAGAAAATCAAAAGAAATCAACCAACAAAACAGGAAGAACATTTTTGACCACCACAACTTTGGTTCTTCCTTGGGTGTGTGTATCAACCTTAAACTCACTGATCAGAGCTGAAAAGGTGTGTGATCAAGGCAGCCTAGAAACCTGAGTCAGTTCCATCAAATCTGCCAGGAACAACTGGACAAAATTCCAGCAAACTACTGTTAGAAACTTATGGATAGGTACACAAAACCTTTACTAAGTCGTTTGAAGACAATACCAAATACTAAAAACATGTATGTAAACTTGGGAATTTGAAGAAAGTACAACATATTCTTTTTTCAGACATTTAACAAACATAAAAAGTTGTCTTAATCTTAAWAGACGTAAAACGTGTTGTGTTCTTAGATTTGCATTAGTTCTGTCTGGTTGCTGTTAATAGTTCCTCATCACCTGAAGACACTACTGTTACAGGAGAACAGAAGAGACTAAGAACAAACAGTAGAATAAAGAAATAGATGTGTTCAGTAAAATGATGTTTCATTGGTTCAATGAATCTAATTTTTTAGTTTTAACCATCTTATCATTTTTTACTATGACCACCACAAACAACAGAAAATYTTTGATCTGATTTATGGTCAAACAGTATAAAATGTTTGACTCAATTTAATTTGATAATTTACAGGTTTTAGTGATAAATGTGTTTGTCAATAACTGACATGTTTTTATTTCTCATAATGTATATTTTTGCTCTTAGTTTGGTGTTAAAGTTCATATTTTGTTACAAAAACATGTCTCAAATGWCTACAGACCTCTTATCATCTCAGTCCAGGTTTTATCTGAATGTTCTGTTCAAGTTAAATGTTAGACACCTGCTCCAATATATTCAGTTATTTCAGGTTTTCATGGTCGACATTCAGCTCTTGGCTCTTTGTACCTGCTTTTCTCTTGACTTTTAATGTTTTTTCTCTTGACTATGCTTCTAASTTAGTTTTATTAGTATTTGATGTGATAGTGAAATGTCATCAACATATAATGTTAGCAGGTGTCAGAATGACTGCAGAGCTGAAACAAAGGTAGATATGAACACTGTTCAGACTGAGTGGATTTCAATGAACCAGGAAGTAGTCATGAATCACAATGCATCACAAAATACTAACATCAAACACATTTGTTTCTGTAAAATTATCTATAATCATTAAATTATGCTGTGATGTTTTAGTTTTTTATAGTTTTGTATTTCTGCATACAGAAGAAAGTTGTTTGTTGTGTCCACAAGGTGGCCTAATAAGATTATGCTGTGTTTTGAAGTAGAAGAAGAAAAGATTTTGGAGGAAAAATATTCTTCTGACGATGTACTAAACTGCGCAAGCCGCTATTAAAGCTGTTAAAAGTAATTCTTGCCTAATTTATGTTTCTGCTTTGTTTGGACTTTCAAACGTAACAATTGGCAATGAAGATGTCTGTACCCAGGCCTGCACCATCCCTGCCCTGCAGTGTAAGTAAGTAAAGTTTTATTTATATAGCGCCTTTCACAGAAATAAATTCACAAGGTGCTGTACATACAGGGAAGGGGGGAGGGGGCAGTTAAGACTGGTCATGCAGCAAACACAATTGTGCTACCTTTAACAGCAGAAAAACTAAAATCCACACAAGGGAAAATGAGGAAAAAGCATGTTCTATCAACACTGTGACACACTATGGTTTTTATGAAAAAAACCTCTGCATAGGGCAGATTTATTAGCCAGAGGAGTGAGTGAGTTTAGTGGGGCGAAGAATCCAGTCCCCTAAACCAGCGCAGCCATAGTTCAGAATATTAATGGTATTGTTCATTCTGTGTGGCTCTCAGCCTGCTCAGGAACCAGATCAGACGGGTGTGAGAGGAGTGGGGGAGGTGTGGGGCAGAGCCTTGTTGATGTAATCCAGCCAGGAAGAATTTAGTCAACAGATCAAGGCCATGTAGGAGATCCAGATTCTGTAATCAGTTGTTTTGGGAACAGAAGAGTCAGGAAGACGATAACAATTTTCTACCTGCTTTAATGTCTGCTGGTACATCTCAAGGTGGTGAATCCAATCAGAAAATAATGTGGACAAATTCCACCGAGCCGTACTAACAGCTTCTCCAAGATCAATTCCATCTGGCCAACAAAGTCCAGGGACCACAGCCGGCATGCGACCGTCAATAGAACCTGTTGCAGACTGAGTCGAGCTCACTCAAGGCAAATGTCTGAGTGCTGATAGAATACGGCCATCCATCAAATTGGTCAGTCAGCCAGGAAATGAAAAGCCACCGACGCGGTTTTGTAGAACACCAGGAGACCACCGAGTCAATCTGTAGAATCCAGTGATCGGAGTCCAGATATATATCCAGAACAGAGAAGAACAGATCAAAAAAAATCAATAGGTCCTCTGGATGGGTTCTTCTTTAGTGAAATGTTTCGTCTCTCCTC